TGCTTTATAACCTCGGTGGAATTCGACTCACCAATTAACGTTTTAATCATATTAGTGATAAACGATCAGATTAAAAGTTCAATTTGTGAACACATAATTTATGTTCTAACCGGTAGTCATATACTTACAAAACAAAAGCGACAAACTTAAGCATATATGAATAATGAGTTATTTTCTACTGGTACGATTAATGCATCTGGCTAAGAAATAGATTCTTGCCTTCTTTGTACTTGACTGGTCTTTCTGGTTTACAATATTTCCCTGCTAGTTTCTTCGGCGTATCACACAACTTTCTCATATTTTCCTCTCTTCCGCCGTCAGTGCTAAATCCTCCAAGTGTACCTTAAAGTGCTCTACTCACGTGTTTCACTGTTCTTCGATGTTGGTGATTATATTACCTTCCCTGCTTTTCACTGGTCGTTCTGGTTTACGATAATTTCCAGCGAGTTTCATTGTTGTGTCACACAATCGTCTCATGTTTCCTTCTCTTGCAGCCTTTTCCGCCGTCATTGCTAAATCCTCCATATATTTACGTTTGTCGGCTCTGATGCTTCTCTTCACTTGCTTGTTTCCTTCTGTGTATTCAGCTTGTGACTTGGCTTTCTGTGCTCTTGTTCGGCTGATATTGATTGCTGCCTTCTTGTTCCTCGTTTCTTGAATCTTATCCAGTGTATTAACTGTGATCCATTACCTGTGATGGTGTTTTTTGTGGCCCAGAACCTCATGACATTTTGAAGTGGCCGCCTCCTTGACCCCCTTACAAAAGCGATAAACTTAAGCATATATGAATAATTAGTTTTTTCTACTGGTACGATTAATGCATCTGGCTAAGAAATAGATACGTATCCATATTACAATCGGGTCACTGATTACGTGTGAGCATTAATAGTTACAAATCTTTTGTGCTCGACCGTAGCTGCCACCTTGACGCGGTGGTCGGGCTTGCCTATCGTGATGACCCAACCGAGCTATATTGACTGGAACATATGTTCCTGTAGGTTCTACCATGCCAGGCAGGTCGATTGGTGAACGGTAAGACTAAAAGCAGCAACTCAAGGTCTGAAGGCGAAGTCGTACTGCTGACTGTATAGGGGTGTGACAGCAGTAAGGTGTTTCCCTCAGACAACCAGCACCTGCAGCGCTGCTGCCTTCCCACAAGGAGTGGTGGGGTTAGAAAAGGTCGACCCTAAAAATGTCACACCTCACCTTACCTCACTGATTTCCGTCTCCGGCGGTAAGGCCCTTTGAAGAACGGAGCTAACACATTAAAAACCTTCCACGAAAAGGCCGTGCGCGACCGACCTCAAGCAGTTGTCCCTTGGGCTCTGTGGTCACGCTCCCAGGTCGTTAAGACCAACACTAATCCGAATTCTTTTCAGGTTCCCCAAGAAATACCCTTCCACGGAGTGGGCGGCCGGGAAGTGATATCAGCCCTTATACCCGTAACAGCGCACGAGACCAAGTCGGTCACATTCAAATCCTTCCTACACCTCCTAATACCTCTCTTATCTCCATGACTAACCCTCCTCACGTCTCTTTATCATCTCGCACAGCTAGGGCAAACGATTCGAGTACGCGGAACGTTATTCCTGGTCTACTGAAACCACACTCTAAACTACACGTAGGAGATCTTAACGTCCGAACACTGTGCCAAATAGGACAGCAGGATTCCTTAGCTAGGACTTTACAATCCCGCGCCGAGTAGCGTCATTCACTTGACCTCACCATACCAAAATAAAGAACCGACTCGATTCACGCTTCGTGTATCTGGAAGCCCTGATTCTGCTTCCCGTGGCCTCGCCGGCGTAGGTATAGCATTGAGTCCTAGGGCAGAACTAGTTCTCTTAGAGTGGATCCCAGTAGACAGTCGTTTGTGCGCTATCCGACTGAACGGAACAGTAAGGATCCGAAAAGATAGGGATACTCGTCGTTGCCTCTTCGTCGTCTCTGCCTATTCTCCCACTGACTGCAGCTCAGATGATGTAAAAGGTGAGTTTTACAGAAAACATTTCGACCTTCAGGAAAAGCTAGGCGCTCTGATGTAGTAATAGTCCCGGTGACTTTAATACTCAAGTAGGTAAACTAAGCGATAGGGAAAGACACCTAGGTGGATCTTATGGTGTCGTGGCTCAAAGAACAGATAATGGCGACCGTCTGTTGCAGCTATGCTCAGATAACCGCCTGTTCCTTGCAAATACTAACTTTAAGCATAAGGAAAAACATCTTTTAACATGGAGACCCCCTAATTCGTCCCAACGTTAGACCCAAATAGATCACGTCGCTATCAGCCACCGATGGAGGGGCTCGATAGAAGACTGTCGCCCACTCTGGAGCACATGCTTAGATTCAGATCATGCTCCAGTACGAGCGCGTATCTGTCTGCGTCTTACTGGACGTAGGAAAGACGCTGCAAGTAAAACTCTTAGGGCCCTACTTAATGACAGTCAAGCTAAGAGTATATTTCAGGAACAACTAGGAAAACAGTGAGGCAGCCATATAGGTGGTGCCCACCCCGAGGCAGTATGGAATGATATCCGACTATCTTTCGCACTGATAGATGCTCGGAAACTCATCCCACCTGGCTCTGAACATAATGAAGAGCGGAGTCAGCTTAAGCGCAAGCTGACAAGAAGTCTACGCAATGATCGTGAACAGTGGTGGGTAGTGAAAGCAAGAGAGATGGAAAAAGCAGCGGCAATAGGTAGTAGCAGACAAGTGTTCAGACTTTTTAAGGAAACCGACTGTTAGCGAAACAATCTCAGAGAGAGATGGACATATTATACATTCTCAATCTAGGAGATTGGATCGATGGGCAGAACACTTTAGGGATCAGTTCAACTGGCCATCAGCCACACTTCAGTTTCCCACGATCTCTAGTCAACCTGAATGGCAAGTTAATGTAGGTCCTCCGACTCTTTACGAAGTTGAAAAAGCCATAGGAAATCTGAAACGAGGGAGAGCAGCAGGCCCTGACAGGTTTACTCCTGAGATTTTTAGGGATGGTGGTCCAGTATTAGCAATGAGATTAACTGAGGTCTTGGGTAGAATTTGGGAACTGGACGTAATCCCATCTGACTGGTCTCAATCACTGATTGTGCCAGTCTATAAGAAAGGACAAAAGTCCTCTTGTGACAATCACAGAGGAATCAGTTTGACTAATATAGTGTCTAAAATATTAGCTTCAATAATACTTCGACGCCTAACTAAAGCTCGTGAAGAGCAGACTAGAGGAAACCAGGCTGGTATTCGACCTGGAAGTGGTTGTATAGACACACTACGTCAGATCCTAGAACATAGACACACATTCAGACACCCCACAATCTTAGTATTTTTCGACCTTAATGCGGCATATGACTCTGTTGATCGTGAGGTTCTATGGCCGTGTTTGTCACTGAAAGGAGTACCAAAGAAGTACATTAACCTTATACAGGCTCTCTACTCGAACACAACTGGTAGAGTGAGAGCTTATGGCGAACTGCCATCAGAATTGATTACCTCAAGTGGTGTTCGTCAGGGCTGTCCACTCTCCCCATTCTTGTTCAACTTTGTGGTCGACGTACTTTTAGAGATAACACTCTCCTCATCTAAATTTCCAGGGGTTGAACTTGTACCGGGAGGTTCACTTGTTGACTTAGAATATGCAGATGACATAGTTTTATTTGGTGAAGACGCTGACAAAATGCAGAGTCTTCTGACCACTCTAAGCAACAATGCAAGCATGTTCGGGATGTGATTCTCTCCCTCAAAATGCAAAATGTTGCTTCAGGATTGGGTTACATCGACACCCGAACTAGTGATAGGGAGTGAAGTAGTTGAGTGTGTCGACCGCTTCACTTATCTTGGAAGTCTCATCAGCCCTTGTGGTCTGGTTTGTGACGAAATCTCAGCACGGATACAGAAGGCTCGACTAGCTTTTGCTAACTTGCGTCATTTATAGCGTAGGCGAGATATCCGTCTATCAACCAAAGGACGTGTTTACTGCGCAGCAGTTCGTTTCGTCCTACTTTATGGCAGTGAAACATGGCCGGTAAGAGTAGATGATATCCGTAGGTTACTAGTATTTGATCATAGGTGTCCTCGAAATATTGCTGGTATATCCTGGGACTATCGAGTAAGTAACGCAGTTGTTAGGACACGGGTACTAGGTAAGGATGGCAAATCAATTGATGACGTAGTGAAACTTCATCAGTTGAGATGGCTGGGACACGTGTTACGTATGCCCAACGACCGACTGCCTCGACGTGCTATGTTCAGTGATATAGGAGTAGGTTGGAAGAAAGCTAGGGGCGGTCAAACCAAAACATGGCACAAGTCCATGAAGTCACTGCCAAGTGGACTGAGTCATGTTGCTTCTCCCGGTCTCCCACATTGTCCTGAAAGTCCATCTACCTACTGACATTCCAAAACATTTGAGATTTACTACACATATAAAGTCTGCCACATTACTTCACCTTCGGAAATTCAACATGTAGCTCATTTACCATACAGAGGTTAACGTATCAAATTATATATGTGGCAAATTTAGAATCCATGACTTATTAGTTAGGAGCCAGGTGTTTTAAACAAGGCTTCATACTTAACACCCGGAAAACACTCAAGAAAGGCTCTCAAACACGTAACTGCTTTGAAACCTAAAAAAGCATACTTTTGTTTGAAGCTCAGTAACGATAACGTAATCAGTGTGTCAATCTAGGTTCACTTGTTTTGTATCTTGGGCATGTTTTATGGATGCGGTCCTAGATGCTTTTACGTCGCGCATTATTTGCTTGCCCTAGACTAAGTGGAAGACGTAGAGAGTTGACAATTTTATGACAGCTATAGATGACTGGATTGTAGCTGGTCATCAAGACCCAGTGATTCAGAATCTTACAGAATACAGGAGTTAGCAAAATAATACACCCTCAGACGTGGAGTAAAATAAAAGCTAATGTCGATCTTTTTGTAGCTTTTGCGGAACGTCGCGTAAAAGATGGAATTGCAGTTCTTAAACATAACAATTGTTTTTCATATTTATTTATTTGTTATACGACGATTTGCTTTTTCACTTCACAACAATTTACATTCTGTTCAGGGTATTTTTTTGAACCTGTGCTGTACCAAAATATTTTTCTTAGAAATAAAGGAAAATGACACTGACAATCGCGAGAGAGAAAAACTGTAACTAATTAAAGAAAGTATACTGTGGGCAGATCACCAAAGAAAATAATTAAACTATGAACTAACTTATTTAACGAATATAAGTTTGTGAATCTAGTTTTCTTCATATGTACCAGTTTTACGTACATTTAATATTCATAACAAACCTATGTTAAAACATAAGTGAAGCTGTGAATCAACAACTCAAAGTATAATAGAATATATGCAATAATTAATTGTCTGTACATAATATCTTAGGTAAAATGGATTAATCGTGTTGGTCTTCATCCTCCCCAGGGCATTGTTCTAAAAGTTCAGATTGATTTTGGTACTGCAGGCTACACCAAAAGCAATAATTATGTCGACTTCGTAAATAATTCAAAAGTTGTATGAAATTTCTTTGGACCTATAAAATCAAAATAATAGTTAATTTTGAATGATGCAGAGTGCGATAGTATAACTGTTCTGACTTGTGACTAATATTTGCTCTGCATTATTATTCAAGGAAATTTTTTTCTAACAGCAATAAACTTGAGTTTCCACGCAAGAAAAATACACTTCAGTTATCCTTTGATTCAGTATTCAGTGAATGAGTGGTACAACACAAATATACAGTATGGTTATCATGGGTAAATAAAATAGAGAAAGAAACTACATATACTTACAGAAGTGTAGTCACAATTCGCATGTTTCGAGTCCAGTTTGGCTAAATCATTATCTGCAAAATCTTCGTTCACATAATCTTCCTGAGGCAATACATTACTTACAGGAATTCTGTCTTTAACAGACTTAAAACCATTCGAAGTGACTGATCCATATTTACCATTATCAACGACCTCAGTTGGAACAAGATCAATAGGTGGCCAGAATGATTCGTGAACTGGAGTTTCAATAAGTTCTTTTAAATCCAGATCTTGACATATCCGACGGGCAACATCCAGTTGTCGGTTCAAACGGTTCTGTCGAAATCTCACGGCCATAGTGCTTCGGAATTCATCTTTGTAAGCCATTTGTATTTGTTGTTTGAGGTTTTCCCTAAATATCATACGTTCGTTTTTTTCAGACGCGAAACCGAGGCCTTCACGACCCTGAGGGATTTCAATAGAAACAGGATCAGCTATCCCAGTAGCTAAAATTTACAAAAATGTATAGGAACAGAGAGTGAAAAAGATGTTTCTACTTGTAGACGTAAAGCACCATTTACTTTCCCATTAGCTTAGTTCCTGCATTGTTGAATACAGTAACAAGATATTCAAAAACTAATCTTTAATGGTCAAAAAAACTAAATGTGTAAGCGAATAAGGCTTAATGAATTTGTATAATCCCGTGAACTAGTTTTATTTGCACGTAGCATTGTACATTCTTCAAACTCAAAGATATAGATTTGTGCTATCACGTTTCTACATTTCCACCCGTTTATTTAAAATTACCTTTCAATTTACACTGATACGTACATAAAGAATATAAATAATAAGATTCGATATTTAATAATTCCCTATGACAAAAGTATTGTTTTGGATGAAAGTGGAGGAAGCGATTTAGAGGGTATAATGAAGTGTAATTAGTATTCCATAAAAATAAAATGAACCACTTATGATTATGAATCGCTCTTGTTTACGGCTGACTACGTAGTTTTGAAGATATTTATCAGAAACAAAGTACATACTTTTGAATTTGTTATTTTTTGACAAAACTTTACTGTCAAAAGCCAATTCACCGCACATGGGTGCTTGTAGTCTGGTCTACCAAAATCCTATATTCCATACTCTAAGACAAAGTATCTTTAGCAAAACTTTCATAAGTTAATTTTATCAGGACATTACCACTCGTTGTTACTTGCTTACGACTGATTGACTAGAAATTTTTAGTAATATCTCACGCTATAACTTAGCGCAAGATGTGTTACTGCGATGATCCAAGTAATTTCAAGTTATGAAAACAAGGGAGTGTGAAACTGTTGTATGTTACATACCATTTTTTCCCAAACCTTTACCCGGAACGTATCCCATTTTTGAAAGTAGACTGAAACCTTTATTTTCGGGCCCAACCTTTTTCTTTAAACCTTCCTTGAGGTGATAGATTTCCCTTTCCGACTTGGAAAGACATTTGTTTTTCCGTCGATTCGCCTCCACTGTACGCTGTCGTTGGACATCTCGTGATATAAATAATCCCGGTTTTACATCTTCTCTAAAAATTTATGAAGTGAGAGTAAAACCTTACATTTCATTCAAAATGGCATCAGACATGTAGTCAACTTCATCATCCATTTCGACACTTTCAAATTATATTTATATTTGACAAACCGAAGTCATCACCTTCATCTAGAATTAAGGCCGAAAGTAAAATTCTATCATGGACAAGAAAAAAAAGTGATTATATATAGATACTTGAAAGTCACATTTAGTGGAAATCATATCTTGAAGGAATTTATTAAAAATGTGACATTTATACAGTATAAAAAGTTCCAAGGCCTTTACCGTATGCTTCACTTAAGTGGTTTTTATTAGAGCTGCGTGAACTAATCGCTTAGTAAGTTCTTATAACAATATTCGAATATTAATTGGTCCTTATCAATGGTGTACAAAAATGATCAGGGAATGAAGGAATTTAAATTTATTACAAATCTCCATCGAATACCCACATTTAAGCCATTAGTGAACATGCTTATAAAACCGCAGTACCATGGATGTTGAGAAAATACTTTGTCGTGTTTTTCGACAGCAATCAAACATATCAAAACTAAAAATGCATCGTAGTTGTTACATTCAATAATAGAATAGAGAAGAGATGAAATGATGGTGTACAGTAGAAAGTGGCCAATTTTTATGTAAGTTATATAGTTGACCTCTACGAGTTGAGGATGTTAAGCGACTCTGTGTTTGATCACTGTTGTCCCAAAACGATTGCTGACGCTGAATGGCAACGCTGCCAGTAATGGGGAGGTTTGACGTGTGTTCAGGCACAATTACGAGGATTCCAGTGGTTTCACGATCGTGACACACTCCACATCGTTATTATTTGCCGACACAAACTGATTGAAAAAGCGGAAAAGTGATCAATGTATGACATGATGTTGTGGCATGAAAGCTGCGCAAAACTGGCATCTATTGTGCCTTGACAACTACGTAATGGCTTAAGATGTTATTAGACACGACTTATAATAGAAGCCGATGGAATCCATGATATAGTTTTTTGACTATCTTCGTATAAATAGGGACTCAAACTCAAAGAATCCCTCCCGGTATTTTTGTGTGAACTGGTTCTCCTATCTTTTCTTACTCACATTCCCAAGTTTTTACATATTTTTCTGCTGTTTTTATTGTATGTCGTATATATATACTAGTGCTCCATTACAAAAACATTTCTTCAAAAAAGTAAATGACGTGGTTGGTGCCACATTTTCGTAACTCATATTGTTACAAACCAAATACAATGCCTTGGTGATCATGCGTTAGATTATTCATCACAGTTTCGCCAAGGCAAATTAAGAACAATTGACTCCGAATACATAAACCTAGGGTAAGTAACTACTACAGTATGAATTTCCTTATAATAATTTACTAAATTTGGCCCATACTGGTTACAATTGTAGCTCTATAGAAATGTTCGAACATTGATTGGAGGTATCGGGACTTAGAGTATAGACATCGAGAATGTCACCCTATCCGAAAGCTTAACCATTGAGTAGAGATCAGACTGTCACACGAAGCAGCGCTTTCTATTTTGATCAATTTACCGACTCTGTTTTTCAAAGTGAAATCTTGTTCCCACTCTCTCAGGTTTAACTACTGCTCAAATGGTTGTGGATGAAACAGAAGCTTATGCTTAACTGGCTTGCGTATCTAGCAGCAGTGGATCACCATCGAACTGGAGTGCATCTAAATGTCAGAAAAGATTCGCAGATTATAACGAAATATCAATAAGTCATTAGAAATATATCAAACTCTTCTCTCGAAAGACTCATGGAATGTTGTTTCGACCACAACAGATGGCACACAAGTCAGCATGTAACTAAATCTCAGTTAGCTGTGTTGTGTCAAACCTCTAAAAAGCGCTCCTAAAGTTCGTATAAAGATTGCGAAAGAGCAAGCCCACGAAGTTCTCGAAAACCAGTGGAGAATTTCAGGATTAGCGACTAAAGTCGAAAACTTTGATATGCTTCGTGGAGATCATTTCTACTTTTAAATAATATAAATCACAAGACAACTAGATATCGCTAGCAATATCAAACGTTAATGGTTTTGTCCCTGAATTTCAACTTATTGTAATCAGACACAGAAACGTGAAAACCCTAGATTTTATAAGGACCCAAGCAACCAATAAAGGAGTAATAAACAGGAAGTGGACGAAAGCATAGATGTAAGGAAAAGTCTATTTTTCTACTTTACGTCAGTTATTTAGGTGAAGGCCGATATCCTCCCCTGACGTCATGTATTTTAAGGAAATTTGCAGACAAATACATGCAACGCACTGACTTGAATATGCCGCTTCCCGTACTTAAATTTTCATTGAACTATACAAATACATGTAATCTTTGTGCCTTCGATTTGTATATAAGTGTGGATGTACTTTCTATTTAAAGCATTTCGAGTCATCATTTATGGCCTGTATTTGGTAGCATCGTCGCCCCAATATTTAGTGACGTGTTCACTATAGGTATTTATGGAGTAATACTACGCCGGTAGAATTCAACAAAATATCCACAGACACCATTTCTGAAATAAAAGGAATGTCCGACTTGGTTCTGCTTAGTGTTAAGTTCAATAAATACATAGCTACTACATTGGCCGCTGTAGCATGTTAAATGCACAATAGAAAGACAGGTTGCTACAGGTGTATAATAATCGGTGGACGGCTTGACAGAAAGATGATTTTTCTAAATGGTGAATATACGTCGCAAAATGATGACAGCTTTCATAATCAAATTCAATCAATTCAACATCAAGGCTATTCCATTTTAGAAGTGCGTTCAACCAATCTGATTTTAACTATTACATTTCACTCGAGTAAAGTAGTATGTGGAACAGTTGGGCTGTATTTATAGGAAAATATTCAAACATATCCATAGAAATCACGGCACATGCTAGCCTTTGCACATGCTTGTATTGATGATTGCTTGATTGCACGTCCGGACAGAGAATCTCATCTCCGGCATCTGGCCCTTGTCTTCGAACGACTACAAAAGAACGGCATTATTGTATACGTTAAAAATGTCAAACTGGAACCGACTTCCTGGATTTCCTCGGACACACCATTGTTGCTCAAGGCATCCGACCACCGATAAGCAAAGTAGCGGCAATTCTGGATTACCCCGGACCGACCACAATCAAGGAAATACACACGTTTAACGGAGTTGTAAGTTTCCATAGATGGTTCACGAATGCTCTAACCGAATAACTTCGTGGAGAAGCAGTATCTGTCAGTTCGGACGACATCGCGAGAAAAGCGTTCTACACGATTAAGGAACTTATCTCTACAGCAGCCATGCTTGCATACTAGGATGCCAAAGCAACCATTAGTATTTCACTAGACGCATCCGACTTGGCAGTTGGAGGAGATATACAACAACGGGTTAACCCCATCTGGCAAGCTTCGGCATTGTTTCTCGAGACACTTGCTACATATCGGGTCTATGTATAGCACTTCCGGTGGGGAATTCTTAGTTGTGTTGTGCTGCATGGCACTTTCAACACTCTGTTAATGGTCGACAATTCAGTCTTTTCACTGATCGCTAAGCTCTTACCTTCTGTTCATGCTAATCTTCAAACAAAAGATCCCTTCGATAGTCTCGACAACTGGGTCATATTTCGCAGTTTAATTCAGACATACAACACATTTCTGGAGCAAACAATATAGGTGTAGACGCTTTGTCTCGCATGAATATTTTGAACACGTCTCAAGGAATCGACTTTCTTAAACTCACGCAGCTTCATAAAGAAGACAATAACCTTCAGCACGAGTTATCTTCAACAACCTTAAAACTGAGCATCAAAGAGATGGGGACAAGTAAGAAAACCTTATTATACGACACGTTCACAGGTAGGGATCGTCCATTTCTGCCGAAACATTGTCCACGCAACGTCTTAAATGCGTTACGCAAACTTCCTCATACAGGTGTTCGTGCAGCCATCAAGCTTATAGCAGAACGGTTTTGCTGGCCTAGTATGAATAAAAATATGAGGGAATGGGCACGCTACTGTGTAAGCTGCCAAAAATTTAAGGTTATTAGATACAAAAAATGTCCCTCAGACTCTTTCCAAATTCCAGACGCTCGTTTCGACCATGTTCATCTGGATTTGGTAGAAGCTTTACCAGATTCAAATGGATATTCTTATCTTTTTAACCTGCGTAGACCGTTTCACTCAATGGACAGAAGCAGTACCTATCAAGGACGTTACTGCTGAAACAGTGGCTCGCGCCTTCGTCGAAAGATGAGTAAGAAACGTCGGCCACCCTTCAACCATCACTACAGATCGTGGACGTTAGTTCGAATCCGAACTTTTCCGTTGTCTGACCGCACTTCCGAGCGACTGCCTACCACCCACAAGCAAATGCGTTAGTTGAACGCTGTCACCAACAACTGAAAGCTTCACTATCAGCTGCAAACGTTTCTCAGTGGACTGACGCTATTCCACTCGTCTCACTAGGTATTCGCAGTGCAGTGAAAGCTGACATTGGGTACACAGCGACTCAAGTCGTTCATGGAACGATTTTCAAGCTCAATAACAATTAGATTAGTGTAATGATTAACACATATATGGTCATTAAGTTAAACTCGCAAACAGGCGGATCAATATTGCGTGTCTTATCGAAATGAATAAAAAGTCAGAGTCACACTAATGCAACGGGATAATAATATTCTTCAGTTGGCAGATCATATTCAACAGCGATAGTCTACAGACACATCAGTTCACATTGACGTGGTGGGAGCTTAAACAAGGATTTGATTGGTTAGTTTTGGACATCACTAACACATATCACTATCATGCCCTTTGAGTAATGGTTCATGTTATCTGGAATGCACTTATTTACTATTACAGTAGTATTAACTTAACAGTGGAATTAAGTCTCTTTTTAATTAGAACAATCACCAACACTGGTTTTAAAATATAAATTACACTGGAAATCGATCTAGCTCTGAATTCGGTGAACCAAAGTTTGGTTGCATGAAATGTATCCAAACCGTCTACAATGTATATAATCTATCATTTATACATTATTACAATCACGGAATATGACTAACCAAAAGATTGGCAGTCGGCAAAAAAGGGAAAAACTAGAGGGTTTAATGTTATTGAATTATTCGGAAAAGTGAGCTCGATTTTACCAGTAGAATTTATGTAATATATTCAAAAGTCACATATTCAGCCATATACCGTGTTGCAAAACGAGTTTACTACAGTGCGGATATAGCCTATCCATATATCACGGCATACTACCTTATCCTCGAAATCATCACGAAGCATCTAAACTTCGAACAGAACAGTAAGTTGTTGCTTGACCTCCTAGCGCGAATGACCGTACCAATAACATAGCAAGGAGACAACACATATAAAAAGAACGTAATAATATTGGAGTTCACATATACTTAGATTTATAATCAATGACAACTTCTTCCTAAATTACGTCATGTTCTGAATGCCAGCCATTGAAAAACAGACTGGTTGAAATACGCGAAAATGCACTAAAAAAAGCTGGACGTAACTAAAGATTGATTATAAGTAAGAAACGTATACATAGATAACACATTATATGATATAACGAAGGTGGAAATGACGATGAATGTTATCAAATGTTATACACCCGCCAATGATAACAATGACCACGATAAAGATCAGTTCTACGAGAGGCTTCGATCGATCATAGTGAAGGGCTCAGAAAAGGACCTGACCATCCTGATGGAAGGCCTAAACGCCAAAGTTGGAATGAACAACACCAGGTACGGAAATATTATGGGACGACATGGACTGAGAGAGAGAAACGAGAATGGTGAGAGATTTGCAAACCTATGTGCATTCAACAAATTGGTCATTGGTGGCACAAGGTTCTCGCAAAAACGCATGCACAAAGCCACACGGATTTCACCGGGTCACACTACACAAAACCAAATCGACCATATCTGCATCAATAAAAAGTTAAGAAGGACGACGAAGGACGTGAGAACCTAGAAAGGAGCTGATATAGCATCAGACCATCACTTGCTGGTCGCCAAGATGAAACCGAAACTCAAGAAGCACTGGACAGCGGAGTGGACAACACTACAAAAGTTTAATACGACATTTCTTCGGTATACCGACAGACTCAAAAAATTCAAGATGTCCCTCAGCAAAAGGTTCCAAGCCTTTCACGGTCTAATTAATGGAGGGAACTATCACAGCGAATAACTGGAAGATGGTCAAGGAGGCAGCCACTTCAAAATGTCATGAGGTTCTGGGCCACAAAAAACACCATCACAGGTAATGGATCACAGTTAATACACTGGATAAGATTCAAGAAACGAGGAACAAGAAGGCAGCAATCAATATCAGCCGAACAAGAGCACAGAAAGCCAAGTCACAAGCTGAATACACAGAAGGAAACAAGCAAGTGAAGAGAAGCATCAGAGCCGACAAACGTAAATATATGGAGGATTTAGCAATGACGGCGGAAAAGGCTGCAAGAGAAGGAAACATGAGACGATTGTGTGACACAACAATGAAACTCGCTGGAAATTATCGTAAACCAGAACGACCAGTGAAAAGCAGGGAAGGTAATATAATCACCAACATCGAAGAACAGTGAAACACGTGAGTAGAGCACTTTAAGGTACACTTGGAGGATTTAGCACTGACGGCGGAAGAGAGGAAAATATGAGAAAGTTGTGTGATACGCCGAAGAAACTAGCAGGGAAATATTGTAAACCAGAAAGACCAGTCAAGTACAAAGAAGGCAAGAATCTATTTCTTAGCCAGATGCATTAATCGTACCAGTAGAAAATAACTCATTATTCATATATGCTTAAGTTTGTCGCTTTTGTTTTGTAAGTATATGACTACCGGTTAGAACATAAATTATGTGTTCACAAATTGAACTTTTAATCTGATCGTTTATCACTAATATGATTAAAACGTTAATTGGTGAGTCGAATTCCACCGAGGTTATAAAGCATTAACTCAATAATCAACATAAATTCTGGTACCGGTTAATTTAATTATCCAAATTTTTAATGCTATGCTACTTATCAAGTAAAAGTGATATATAAACAATACACAGACTTTAAAATTACAACAAACTCTGAGTACAGTTGCTTATCACTTTGTCAATCATGGACTCAACAGAATATTTCAAATACAGACATTTACTTTTCATGAAGTGTTGCGCAGAAAAGAAATCACTATTAGAAAATACTATAATTGAAATAAATGTTGAAAAAATGAGGCAAATTAATTCATTCCAACACAAAATACTTTAGGGTTGAAAAACAGAACAAACCAAAATGTGAAGGATACTTTAAAGAGAAGAGAATCAATTATTCAGGATTTTGATGCATGATTATGAAATGCGATAAATGCTATATATATATATATATATATATATATATATATATATATATATATATATATATATATTTGCTGAGATCAGAAGCAATTTGCAACATGTCAAAATAAAACAATGGGAAGGAGAACCGAATTGGTTCACAGTAAATTTGAATCGGAAATACCGTAGAGAATGTGAACAACATAATTTCAATGTTTCGAACGGTGGCTGTGTGAAGCTACTCAATGAGTATAGAAAATACGGTAATACAGCCACTTAGAACGCCAGAGAGAAAATGAATTGTCGAATTTGAATACATACACACCAACACCTGGATACTGATGGCTACCACAATAAACTTCTGTATGACAATCCCTTCTATAGATTGGTATAAGTTCGTCAGTAGGTAAACGCTGTTGTAATGACTTTTTGCCTAATTCCAAATCATGAGATTCTGAATACAAGTAAAAAGTAAATTATTACAGGCAGTGAAAAATGTGTAAGAATGTTTTTTTCTCATTTACGTTTAACACATACCTTGCACACTTATTCTGGACTTCATCGATTTAAGTCAGGTCCCAGTGTAGTATCATCTTTTAGACTATACATCAGGCTTGCTGAGATTTGTAGACTACACTAATTACAGAAATTAAGAATTACACTATGAACTATATTTTCCGAACAAATAGTGGCAGTACATCGATTTCAACTCTGCACATTCATTCAGTGCAAAACATTTTCTGGCTCCGCATCTATTCAGAAGAGAATACTAAGACGAAACTATTCACTTATGAATAACAATTTGAATTGGAGTACTTTGATTGGCACTGTTGTTTTACCTAACCTCCAATGTGTTATGTACTTGAGAGCCTCATTGTCAAATTTCGACACAAACCAAGGAACACAAAAACACCTAATAATCCTGTAGAGCTGGAAAGTTTACAAATTAAATCGGAAATAGTAGCACATGTTATGTTCAGTAACCAAGTCGGTATTAAAAATATCAAAATAATTCAACGGCTTTTCCAACTATAAAGAAAAGCGATTAGCTAAAGCGTTTCATGTAATGCTAAAAAAAGCCGAACTATATATCCAACTTGGACTATTTATCCAAACAACCACATTTACCTCTGTTCGTTCCTCATACATACGCTCAAATTGTAACTACCCTTCTTCATACAACAAATCATACGTCTCTCATACCCATCATCAAACACACAATGATGTCTCATACAGAATCACATTGACCAGAAAGTTCACATGACACTGAAATAATCAAACCTAATCTAATTTTGATTAGACTAAATTCTCTGCCTTGTTCCTTTATAATATATAAACTTATGTTAAATCGATTATTCATCTACGTACTCTGAAGAAGTGGCCTACATTAATTCACGAAAGGTCAGAAATCCAAATGGATTGTATTTGTAAAGCAGCTTACATTTTATTAGTATATGATGAATCATAGTTGATAAGAAGCAAATGAAACGGTTCATAAGTTACAGTAAGTACACGACATATCTTTTAACAACCTCGTGCTGTTTATTATTTGCACAATCAAACGATATTACATTTGCTACATGCCAATAAATATGGCCGTTACCTGAAGAAAAATTAACAAAACAACTTATTCGCTTAATGAATACCGATTAATTATACACTGAAAAAATCAATATAAACATGTATGATAATCCAATTACGGAATTCAACGTTATGCATAGAAACATAATCTAAATACGAACACTGGTATTCTCACAATCAAAGCTAATTTCCTACCCTTATTTTTGTTTTCAGGCGACGTTTGTTCCATAGAATTCCCATTACCAGGTCCTTCTTCATCCTCATCTTCACCGCCTTCTTCATCACTTGACTCCGAAATATTAACAGAAATATTTTCAGGCGGTTCCAAATCCCATTCAAAATACAATCCAAAACCTAAGTCATAATTGTCTGTAGCAAATTCCCAACATATTGCTTTCCCATTTGGATGAGTTGGAACACGTACCTAGAGACGAGAATATAAATAATTGTAATACAACATTATCGAACCGCTATCAATGTGAACTATAACATATAGAAAAACTTGGATAGTTACAGTTAGTAAGGATTCGTAATACAGAAGAAATACTGGTTCAAAAATGAAGAATATTTGAGCGAACAAGTATTTTCAATAACTTCACCATCAGGCTCTACAGTTATAAGTCTACAATTATCGTGATATTTTAGAAACGCCAAAATAAGACATGTTATTTATAAATTAGAAAGGTCATTTAATAAAGGTTGTAGAAGACGACGCTCAGTCTGGCTGCATTAAATTTTTTTGTACTGCACTTCTTAACCTATGAGTCACGATTTCTTCAGTAGTATCATTTGAGAATTTTAATTTTAAGAACAATACTTTCTTCGAAACGGTAGGTACCCTTGTCCTTCTTTTCATCTCCTTCATGTGTTTGTCGATAAATTTCGTTGGGTACCAATTCCTACTAAGCCAGTTACGAATATTAACCAATTCATCTACAAGAATGTCATCCGAGCAAATCATTCTAGCACGATAAGTCAGGAACTTTATCAATTTTTTTGTATTAAATTGGTACTGCACTATAGAAATGTGTGTATTGTCCAGCTGTAGATTTTCTGTGTAACCCTCTTCTTAATGTTCCATCTGTTTGTCTAGTTAGTTGGAAATCTAGAAACGACATGCTATTGTTCTTTTCTTTCTCCAGTGTAAAATTAATTGATGAATGAATGTTATTAAATATATTAAATAAATTCTCCTTTTCATGCTCTTTTTTCTATACTATGAAAGTATTATCCATATAGTGACAATAAGATGTTAAATGTTGATCGATTTAGTAACTCCAATCATACTGGTGACTCCGCCTGTAGCTCTTCTAGAGTTACTGCCGGTCCCAAGCTAGTGTAAAGGAGGAGGGTTGGGCATAGGGTTAGCGAACCCACCCGTAGAAAACTAACTCGCTAAAAAAACGCTAACCAGAAAAAATAATCCAAACCATTTCAACTCTGCTCTGGGAGTTAGGTCTTCATTTAGAAGAACTATGACGCCTCATGGTGAAAGCAAGTTCCTTCGGAAGCCACGAGGCCGATGCCCCTTCTAACAACCAGAGCAACAATTTTTATAGGTACATGGGACGTCCGGACTATGTGGAAGATCGGGAAGACCAGTCAAATAGCAACTGAAATGAGGAGATACAACTTGGCAGTACTGGGAATCAGCGAAACCCATTGGACCCAAGCTGAACAACAAAGGCTAAATATGGGAGAGATGCTGTTATACTCCTGCCACGAAGAGGAAAATGCTCCACACACTCAGAGAGTTGCTCTAATGCTGTCCAAAGAAGCACGAAATGCACTTGTAGGATGGGAATCCCACGGATCCAGAATCATCAAAGCATCATTCAAAACAAAGGAGGGGATCACAATGAATATTATCCAATGTTATGCACCCACCAATGATAGCAACGACGACATTAAAGATCAATTCTACGAGCGGCTGCAGTCAACCATAGAGAAGTGCCCAAGAAAGGATCTCACCATTCTGATGGAAGATCTAAATGCCAAAGTCGGAGTAGACAACACCGGATATGAAGATATCATGGGACGACATGGATTGACTGGGAGAGAGAAACGAAAATGGGAAAAGATTTGCAAATCTGTGTGCATTCAGCAAATCGGTCATAGGAGGCACAATATTTCCACACAAACGTATACACAAAGCTACATGGATCTCACCAGACCACACCACAGAGAACCAGAAAGATCATATTTGCATCAATAAAAAGTTCCGAAGGACAATGGAAGATGAGAAGCAGGAGAGGAGCTGACATAGCTTCAGATCACCACCTAGTTGTGGCTAATTTAAAACTGAAGCTAAAGAAAAACTGGACAAACAGCACTACAAAGGTTCAATACGGCCTTCCGTCAAGATACTGACAAACTCAATGAATTCAAGATAGCTCTCAACAACAGGTTCCAAGCCTTACAGGATCTACTGAAGGAAGAAGAAACTACCATGGAGGACAACTGGAAAGGTATCAAAGAAGCACTAACGTCAACGTGTCAAGAGGTTCTTAGCCTCAAGAAGCATCATTATAAGGAATGGATCTCTATAGGAACACTGGACAGGATTCAAAACAGGTAGAACAAGAAGACATCAATCAACAACAGTCGAACAAGAGCACAGAAATTCAAAGCACGAGCTGAATACACTGAAGCAATCAAGCGAGTGAAGAGGAGCGTTAGAGCCGACAAGCAGAAATACGTGGAAGAACTAGCAACGATGGCGGAAAAAGCTTCAAGTTGTGTGATACACCGAAGAAACCAGCAGGGAAATATTGTAAATCAGAGGGACCAGTTAAGGACAAAGAAGGCAAGACATTCACCGAGACTTAAGAACAGAGAAACAGACGGGTAGAATACATCGAGGAACTCTTGAATAAACCTTCTCCATTGAATCCACTGGACATTGAAGCAGCACACTTAGATCTTACTATAAATTTCTCTCCACCAATGACGGGGAAAATCAGAATGGCCATCAGACAAATCAAGAGCGAGAAAGCAACAGGACCAGACAATATACCAGCTGAAGCACTGAAGTCAGACATCGAAGTAACTACAAACATGCTTCACCTTCTATTCAAAAAGATTTGGGAGGAAGAACAAATGCCGACGCACTGGAAAGAAGGATACCTCATCAAGATTGCAAAGAAAAGAGATCTAAGCAAATGTGAAAACTACAGAGGCATCACACTACTGTCAGTACCAGGAAAGGTTTCTAACAGGGTGTTGCTGAACCAAATGAAAGACTCAGTAGACACCCAACTTCGAGATCGACAGGCTGGATTCCGTACGGATCAGTCGTGCACAAACCGAATCGCAACACTACTGATCATCGTTGAACAATCAATCGAATGGAGTCCGTCACTTTACGTCAACTTCATTGATTATAAGAAGGCGTTTGACAGGGTGGACAGGAGAACATAATGGAAACGTTTTCGACACTATGGAGTTCATGAGAAGATTGCCAACATGATCCGGAATTCATACGACGGACTATAGTGCAAATTAGTTCATGGAAGACAGCTGACAGATGCATTCCAAGTGAAGACCGGAGTCAGATAAGACTGTCTACTCTCTCCCTTTCTGTTTCTTCTGGTGGTTGACTGGATTATGAAGACCTTGTCGTCTGAGAGGGAACACGGAATACAATGGACAGATCGGAATCAATTAGAAGATTTGGATTTCGCAGATGATCTGGCTTTTTTATCCCATAAACAATAATAAATGCAGATGAAGACAAGTAGTGAAGCAGCAGTCTCTGCATCAATAGGATTCAATATACACAAGGGGAAAACCAAGGTTTTCAAATTCAAAACAAAGAATAGCATTCCAATCACTCTTGATGGCGAAACTCTGGAAGATGTAGAATCCTTCACATGACTGGGAAGCATCATCGATGGACAAGGAGGTTCAGATGCAGACGTAAAGGCAAGGATTGGCAAAGTAAGAACAGTATTCCTACAGTGGAAGAACATATGGAACCCAAAACAACTGTCAACCAATATCAAAATCTTCAATACGAACGTCAAGAAAGTTCTAATGTACGGAGCTGAAACTTCGAGAACTACCACAATTGTTACCAAGAAGGTGTAAGTGTTTACAAACAGTTGTCTACGCAAGAGACTCAATATCCGTTGGCCGGATACCAGTAACAGCCTTTTGTGGGAGAGAACAAACCAGCTTCCAGTTGAAGAGGAAATTAGGAAAAGACGATGGAAATGGATAGGACATACATTACGCAAATCGTCAAACTGCATCACGAGGCAAGCCCTAACTCGGAATCCTGAAGGGAAACGGAAAAGAGGAAGGCCAAAGAACACATTAGGTCGAGAAATAGAAGCAGATATGAAAAGGATCAATAGGAACTGGAAGGAGCTGGAAAGGATTGCCCAGGACAGGGTTGGATGGAGAGTGTTGGTGAGCGGCCTATTCTCTTTCACGAAGAGTAACAGGCGTAAGTAAGTAAGCAAGTAATCATGCTGGTACATGTTTACGATATTATTATCACTACGATTGATATTCTTATCATAACCTCAATTAACAAGATGAAATTCTCTTACTAGGCATTTTATTTACACGATTTTTGTTTCATTTTTGCTATATTACTGTTATACTGATTGGGACTTGACACTATTATGAATCATTTGCCTTTTATTAAATGGTACTTCTAATTTATAAATAACACAATTTTGAGGTGTATATGTCGTAACAGATGCAAACGTTCACTATTTTTTACATATAATATTGTCAAATTCATTAAAACATGTCTTATTTTGGCGTTTCTAAAATATCACGATAATTGTGGACTTATAACTGTAGAGCCTGATGGTGAAGTTATTGAAAATACTTGTTCGCTCAAATATTCTTCATTTTTGAATATTCTATTGGGATTCTTAAACCGCTGAAATATTGGTTCATTAATTCATTGATGTGATCACAGGTGACCTCAGAAATATAATGCGTATTGCATACATTTAGATCAATGTGGTTTAATCGTAACGTAATTCGTCTATACTACTTTATTAACAATTTAAGAAAACGATCCAACTTCACGTGCCTTTGTGCAAAAGTGAACATGACCGCCATAGATTATTTGATACAATTACTACTTAGTTATACTCAAGATAAATGTCATTTTGTTACCATTAGGACCAACATATAAATACTAGTAGTTAAGACATTCCAGGTGTAGAATATCAATCTTGAAGATAAATTTGTTATCTTGGGATGTAATATGATAGAATCTCGTTAACGAAAATACGCTCTGAAAAGATAGTCATGTAACATCAATCTGTATCTGGGCTGAATACTTTTAGCTCATATTATGAGATAAATTAAAAACCGGTATACCAAAAATCAATAGTGAAAAAATCAACTAAGATATATTCTATATTCGTTAATTCCATTTTAACAGCATGTCCTAAAACCGCTAATGGAATACCTAAGACTATTCTCCATATTTATGTGAGATCCTAGAATTTGGCGGAGTTGTCAATATACATTATTCATATCACTGTTAATATAGTTACTTTTTCATAATTTCAGAAGCCTCAAGTCACTGATGACAACACATACAAACATATGGATGTCCGGTACGGTAAACATATAGAGTTTAAACTAAGATAATCTTTTTTTCTTCATTTCTGAGTTTAAAAGTCCAAGTTAAAGTCTCCTTTTTTTCAATTTACCCAACGATAACTGTTGGTATAAAGGGTGGATAGATGCCTTGATGTTTTAAAATATTCATTCAGGTCATAAAGTGAAGTGGTTCAGTTTTAAAAATCGAGTGAAATCCGTAATAGCTATACGAAAAATTCGACTACAAGATTAGCGCCTAGTTTATTCATAGAATTTATATATTAAACAATCAAATTTATTTCTCTAACAAATTATTAAGTATAACATTTACGTATCACAAAGTATCGAGCTCAAATCATCATAGAATGACCAGCTAAGTAATGAAATCAATAAGAAGATATACTGTGAGACTTACTGTCGCAGTTGCTAAAGAATTTATCTTTATACAACATTCCTTCTGTACATCGAGAATTTCTCGTTTGAATTCTGAAATATCTTTACGAGTCCATATTGTTGCAGGAATGAGAGGTAATGGTTCTAGAAAATCTTCAGATATATAAACAAAAAGATTTTTTTACAAAAACTGGCGTTTAGTCACCCTGATGCACTGATTTACTTTTGTGTTTACCGATATTAATTCGTCATTTTGAACAACAAACTTTTAGCTACCATATACCTATCCAAAAAGTCAATGTGAACCCTTATCGTAGAATGAGAAGAAATTAAGCAGTATAGCAAACAGGTTTAAAGTCTGGATCGATAATTATTTCCATAGACTGAAAGTTGCAGGGCGATAATCAGTGATCTAGATTTATTATTATTAGTCTTTGCCTTTATACTTAACTATTTAATCATTACTCATTGAATTACTCACAATCATGTTAGTAGTTTACTTTTTTGTAAAGAAATATCAGTGTTTTGCTTTAGTCGATCAAGGAATAGGTCTTTTCAATGTTCACTCGGTTATGAGTTGAGGAATTGCTTTGTCACCATCTAATTCGGAAATATATGACCAGTGATCAATAACAAACTAAAATATAACCATTTTACGAAGCAATAGTGTTCTTTACTGTCTCACATCAACTCGGCACCCAAATACTGTGAAACAATTCGATCAAATGTAGACGAAAGTTCTTATAGTCTTCAGTCAGTCAGTCAGACACAACGTAGGACCAGGCACATATATGCATCGGTCCAGGTTGCCATACCGCTTTTATAGTCTTCTGCTACGTTAAATTCATCTAGTGCAAATAAGAAATGATGGGTTACAAAAACATCAATCCAACGAATACATTTGAAAATGAAATTATCTTGGATATACTATTTACATTAAGTAAAGAAGTTGTCGAAAAATGATTAGGATTGAGAATCGGCTTCGTTCCAGTTTTATGTTGGTTTTCCCTACAGACATCAATGAAAGCTTCAAGATAACACTAGATGATGACTCAGATATGATGGTAATAAACTAATTTAGAAAGTTGACTCAGAAGTTTCCGCTCGACGACTCCAAAATAAGAAATCATATAAATATTTATAAGTAAAAATGTTTCAATGTCAAGAAATGTGATGAAATAGTCCCCAGTAATCGGTGCTATTCAGTATCACTTAAAATAACGTTGGCACATAAGTTATGGTGGCCTAGTGAACTAATAGAATTATTTAATAAATGAATTCATCAATCAACTAAAGCTATACCACCATGGAAAATCTGGAAGCACTGGACGACCGCGTCATCCTAGTATGGGACTTTGAGGTATATTAACATATAATAAACGCAAGTTAATAACTAGGTTATTGGAATGTGTAAGAATAGCAGTGCACAAATTGAAAGTATCATAAACCCAGATATGAATCAAAAATATCGCACCCAATGTCAAGAAACACTACGATTGTTGGCCTTTGATAAGTATGGCGGTGTTCTAACATTTGGAGAAGGGTGAAGATATGATCAATACATCCTCGACCAGAACGAAACCCAGCCTGCTCCTCGCGAGTCAATCTTTCTCGGGTTTTGAACAACCTACGAAGTATGACGGAAGCCAATAGCTTGGACGCAATCGGAAGTAGACTTATCCCCCAATAGTTGTTACAGGAACGACGTGAACCCTTTCTAAAGATAGGGCAACTATCGACTCATTCCATGACGTTGGTACACTCTCGAGATCCCAGAACTTTGTAAACAACCTTGTCAGTTCCTTAGTCAGAAAGTCCCCACCATCTTTAAAAAGAGCCGGAGGTAAGTCATCTGGGCCAGGTGATTTGTAGCGCTTCAAGAGTTGGAGTTCCTTGCGGACTTCCGCCTCATTTGGTGGATCAGTCATCACCGGCCATGGAGGGCAGGACAGTCTGACCGATGTTGCCGGAGCAGCAGGCCAGTTGAACTGCCCTTCGAAAAATTCTGCCCATCGTCCAGGACGTCGATGGATGTTAGTGGTTGGCATCCCATCATCCTCACAGATTGTTTCACTCACACCAGACTTCTTGCTGCCAGTGGCTCAGATGAGTTGGAAGAGCTTCCGGTAGTTACCAGATGCAGCTGCTGCTTCCAGCTCATTAGCACGCTTCGACCACCAGGCTTCTCGGTCCTTACGCAAGCTTTGCCCCATTTCTTTACGTAGCATCTTTTTTTATGGTCAAACTCACGGTCACCTGGAGTTGACCGACGGGCTTCAATGAGTTGTAAGAAACCTGCAGAAACCCAGTGCTTATAAGCGGGACGTTTTGCGAACCCACAACTGACTGTTCCCGCCATTTTCATGGCGTCATGCAATTGCAACCAATGCTCATCTATATTTTCGGTGGAATGGTAGCTAGCCTAGAAACTAGCTCGGTTCGATACTTACTAGCAACAGAAGTTGCAACCAGCTTGTTAACATCAATCCGTTGGTGGCGGTCACTTCGTTGTCCACTGAAAAGTAAGGTAAGATTGGCACAGACCAAGGCATGGTCAGAGTCCAGATAGGTACTCCAAAAGGAGCGGCAGTCTTGTACACAACCACGCCAGCGGTAGCTGACCGCGATGTGATCAATCTGAGTTCAGGCTTGGGATGCAGAGGGAGGACGCCAGGTGGCACATCGGCGATGACTGTGCCGAAAGTTAGTGCTAGCCAGAAACAGGTTATGGTCTGCGCATAGTTGTAGTAGACGGTCCCCGTTATCTGACCTGCGACCAACGAGTCCCCACCAGCCACCTAGACGACTCTCTTCTGTGCCTAGACGCCCAACCTGAGCATTCAAGTCTCCGGCTAGTACTACAACATCTGTCAAACGCACTTTCTGGAGAAGAACAGAAAACTGGTGGTAAAACTCATCCTTGATTGCATCCGGGCTGCAATCTGTCGAGGCATAGGCGGAGATGACGAAAAGACATCGTTTCTCACGCCGATTTCTTCTCACTTTGATGGAACTTTATAATCTAACATCACATAACCGACTGTTAATGGGGATCCAATCGATTAGTGCTGCCTCAGCTCTAGCGCTTAGTGCGACACCAACGCCAGCAAGACCAGACGAAGATGCCACTGCGTCCCCGGATAAGCGCACGTAAAACAAGCTTTTCGAAGCGACAGATGGAGATCGAATTTGTAGTACTTCGCCAGAGTCTTGAATACGGGTCTCGGCTAGACAGCAAACGTCGATATTAAGACTTTCTACAGACGTAGCCATCCCTATCTGTTGTCCAACCTGCATAAGTGTGCGAACGTTGAAGGCAGCCAGTTTGAATGGTGCGTGGTTTCAGGAAAACTGCTTCAGTACTTATATTCGGTGGTAACATACAATTTTCAACCGGACAGTGACTCGAGAACGTTTATATAGAGTCGAATTTCCACCATAGACGAGCTGCTGTATAAGTCGAAAAAATAAGTATAGACAGAGTAGGAATAAAAGAGGGTGAATAATGATGTAGTAAATAATAATAATAATAATAATAATAATAATAATAATAATAATAATAATAATAATAATAATAATAATAATAGCAATAATAGTAATAATAATAATGATTTGAATCATTTAATTGTTAGTTGAAGAAAGAAAAGTAGTTTCCATAATTATAGACAGTTCATCATTTGTGTTTGGGCTGTGATACTGCCCGGGTGCCCAAACCGAAGCAGGTGGTTTTCTTAGGGGGGGCACACCCCGAGCCTTTGACCTAAAGGTCTAACCCACAAGGCAGTGGCGCATCGTAAGGAGATGCATTCCCATGGTAGCCGGTGACCAACAATTGGTTCATACGCCATTTGTTCCTGCAGGATACTGGAGCCCATGTGCACCCTTGGTTAGGTTTGGGATCCGGTTAAAGCGCCGGACATTCGCTTTTCGTCCTCTCAATTTCGTAAACAACACCTCTACCACGAGAAAACAGTGAGTTATTATTGCTGATAAAACCACCCGACAAGATGATTGACTGAATATCCATAACGGAATGAAAAGAATTCAATCAAAAACGATCAACTTAATTCAATATTATCGTTGATTGCTAAATACTTGATGAATTAGTGTAAATTCAGACAATAAGTGAAAACAGGAATAAGTAGATGGAAAAACAGTTAAGCTGAAAAACCAATCAAGTACCAGTTGAGAAAATGTTTGTTTACATTTTTTCGTTTCTAGTTAACTCCCTTAGTAATTAAGCATAAATGAAAAATTGCATGTTTTCAAAAATCATTTTATTATTCACTGAATGTAAAATAATTCAAATAAAAATAACTAAGGACACATGATGTTAATGTCGATAAATAATCTTCATAGAAATACGATCACGAAAGCATTTTTTTATCGAACTGGATTGTGAAGCGTTATGTATAAATGTAGTCTTGAAAGAATGACATCTTAAAATAAAAGTCAGTAGTGAATAGATATTATTACGATTCCGGTTGTTCATACATATATCCATAAATTTCAGTGGATATCAGTCAGCTACAACGTAGGACCAGGCACACATATGCATCAGTCCAAGTTGCCATACCTCATTAGCACAACAAAATGTACGCCGAATTCATAGAAGTAGTTGCTTCAATGGTAGTGACAAATATAAAAAATTGCATGTAAAGATATGGTACAGGATGAAAGAATTAATTGGTACAAAGAAAGGTATGAAACAACTTTAATCTTATGTTTTAAGGGAAGACAGAGTGTATACACCTACGCCATTGTGATCGATCCTGAACCATGTCACCCAGAGTCTCCAAACATTCGTTACGATAGTCACGCAGACCCCAACCAAGTAGTCTGCATCTACCAACATTGCTAAGACAAGGAGTTGGTGACTTCAAGCTCTGATGCCACGTTTTGGTTTGGCTGCCCTTAACTTTCTTCTAGCCGTCTCCAACATTAGTCAGCATTGTGCGCCGTGGTAATTAGTGGTTGGACATGAGCAATACGTCACCCAACCATCTCAGTCGACGAAGATTCACAACCTTATCAACTGATTCACCATCATTCCCTAATACCCTACGTCTAATCTGAATATTACTTACCCAGTGATCCCAACAGACGCAAGTAATATTTCTAAGGCATCTGTAATCAAATACCTATAGCGTACGAATATCTTCTGCTCTTAGTGGCCATGTTTTGCAGCCGTAAAGTAGAATAGAACGAACTGCCACGCAGTATACTTGTCCCTTAATTGTGAGACGGATATCTCGCCTTCGTCATAGGGGACGTAAGATGGCAAAAGTCAAACGGACTTTCCAAATCCGTGCAGAAATTTCGTCAGACACCAACCCATTAGGGCTAACCAGGCCCCCAAGATAAGTGAGGTTGTCAACGCGTCCGACTACTTCACTCCCTATCCTTAGTCCAGTTGTTGACGCAGACCAGTCCTGAAGCAACAACTTGCATTTAGAGGGGAGAAACGCACATCGAATATCCAGGCATTGTTGCTCAGTGTTACCAGAAGACTCTGCATTTTATCAGTGTCTTCACCAAACAGGACTATATTATCTACGTACTCTAGGTCGATAAGTGTGCCTCCTGGAACGAGATCAATACCCGAGAATTCAGTCGACGAGAATGTTATTTCCATCAGTAGGTCTATGGTGAAGCCTTGACGGACACCACTTGAGGTTGCGAAATCAGATGACAGTTCTCCATAAGCTCTCTCGAGCAAAGAGCCTTCACAAGGTTTATGTACTTCTGAGGTACACCTTTCAATGACGGACACTGCCACAGAATCTCGCGGTCTACCGAGTCAAATGCTGCTTTCAAGTCAAGAAAGACCACCATTGTCGGACGCCGATAAGTATGCCTATGTTCTAGAACCTGAAAAATAGTGAATATGTGATCTATGCAGACAGCCTGACTTTCTCCTGTTTGCATTTGATGAGTCTTTGTATGGCTCCCGATAATTGTTGAGGCTAGTATTTTAGGTGCTATTTTAGTCAAACTAATCCGTGCAAGAGGGGGAAACATGAAACGATTGTGTGACACAACAATGAAACTCGCTGGAAATTATCGTAAACCATAACGACCAGTGAAAAGCAGGGAAGGTAATATAATCACCAACATTGAAACACGTGAGTAGAGCAGTTTAAGGAACACTTGAGTCCACCAGTACCACTGAACCCGCCCAACATAGATGCAACACCCACGGACTCCCCAATCAATGTTGGCCCACCAACAACTGAGACCAACATGACGATCAGACAAATCAAGAGCGGAAAAGTAGCGGTACCAGACAGACGTGGCAGTAACTGCAAGTATGCTTCACGTTCTGTTCAAAAAGATTTGGGAGGAAGAACAAGTGTCGATGGACTGGAAAGAAGGGCACCTTGTCAAGATGCCAACGGAAGGAAATCTGTACAAGTGTGAAAACTACAGAGGCATCACACTACTGTCAGTACCAGGAAAGGTTTCTAACAGGGTGTTGCTGAACCAAATGAAAGACTCAGTAGACACCCAACTTCGAGATCGACAGGCTGGATTTCGTACGGATCGGTCGTGCACAGACCAAATCGTGACACTACTGATCATCGTTGAGTCAGGTAAGGTTGCTTACTCTCACCCTTCCTCTTTCTCCTGGTGATCGACTGGATTATGAAGACGTCAACATTTAGGGGGAAGCATGGGATATAGTGAACAACTAGGATACAGCTGGACTGTTTAGATTTCGCAGATGGTCTGGCTCTTATATCGCACACGCAACAAAAGATACAGGAGGACACGACCAGTGCAACAGCAGTAGGTCTCAACATACACAAAGGGAAAAGCAAGATTCTCCGATAAAACACAGCATGCAACGATCGAATCACACTTGATGGAGAAGCTTTGGAAGATGTTAAAACCTTTAAATACCCATGCAGCACCATTGATGAACAGGGTGGATTTGATGCAGACGTGGTAGTGCTGATCGGCAAAGCAAGAGCACCATATCTACAACTGAGGAACATCTGGAACTCAAAGCAACTGTCAACCAACACAAAGGTCAGGATTTTCAATACAAATGTCAAGACCGTTCTACTGTATGGGGCAGAAACCTGGAGAACTACGAAAGCCATCATCCAGAAGATACAAGTGTTTATCAACAGTTGTCTACGCAAAATACTTCAGATCCGTTGGCCGGACACTATTAGCAACAACATACTGTGGGAGAGAACAAACCAGATCACAGTGGAGGAAGAAATCATGAAGAAGCGCTGGAAGTGGATAGGACACATTGAAAAAAGCACCCAACTGCGTCACAAGACGCCCTCACATGGAATCCTCAAGGCCAAAGGAAAAGAGGAAGACCAAAGAAGACATTACGCCGGGAAATGGAAGTAGACATGAGAAAAATGAACAAGAATTGGATGGAACTAGAAAGGAAGGTACAGGACAGAGTGAGTTCGATGGTGCTGGTCGGTGGCCTATGCTCCATTGGGGGTAACAGACGTAACTAAGTATCTGTTAGTTGTATATATATAGTCATCAGCCTAACTATTAATACAACTTAGTAATAATAAACCCCTCCCTACATTAACGAAGTAGGAAAATATGTGAAAGAAAACAATTCAACACTTTTTTTATTTAAACACTATTTGCAAAAATAACTTTGTAAATAAAATTTAAAGTTTATGGAAGCCCAAATATTAAAAGCATTATGCAATCAGGCAGAAAACTATTAAGTTGTGTGGAAATTTCACAGCAAGAAACTAACCTCTCTCAGATTCAGAATTCCCATCGTTAGAATCTTTCACGGCCGATCTTACCGCTCGTAACTAAAAGTCAGATATGACTGGTTTAAGTATAAATTTAAGCATTAAGACGTAGTTAAATAATCCATACATTCATAAAATCCCATTACTTGAATAATAACGTGTTATCAGATATCAATAATAACAAGTAGTTTACTTTCTACATGATCAAGCAAAGTTTACAACTGAGAACAAACTTCTACGCATATTTTATGGAAATTAATTTACATGACTCAAGGAAATGATAGTAAAACATAATATGGGGTAACTACAGCCAAATAGATTAAACACTAAACATCGGAACACCATAGAAGACAAACTAGATTAGAAGTACAGCGAATTCAAAAAGTGGCCATTACCATAGTTTCTACCGGTTATAAATATAAATATAACAGTACTAAAACCTTTAATCGAAAGTGAATATATTGCGATCTAACACATATATTTTCATTTGTACAATATTTTACCCCTATAAAAGATTTAACAGTAGACAACAAAATGGTACGAAATGTTTGAGACACTTGGTCATGTTTATTGAAGTACCAAAAAAGTCCTATCCTAATCATTGATTTGTTTTGTTCTCATATAGTCTATGTTGCTACTTCTAATACTTAGCTTTGTTTCATACTATACTAGTATAAAGATGTTCAGTATTTCTCTAACATTTCAAACGACTTAATGGTTGTTTTGAACCAATTTTTGGTAACGCATTAAATAACTAAGTATGCCACTTTAGAAGCCTCAGACATAAATGGGACAAACAAATTTTCTAATGATATTGAAAAACTGTACAGGTAAAATGGGATGCATCTCAGAGATAAACCTACAGGATTTTAGGTTAGTAAGGTTAATAAACTTTCCGTTTAATCCAACTTCAATAGTTTGACATAATCCAGTTCGGAAATCATTTGACGCTTGACAACATCGATATTCGCACACGTAAATGTGCATTACTTGCAGAATTTACCATAGTTTCTGACGTATCGTTAACATATATATTGCGGTTGAAATAAGTAGTTGGCTGTAGCAGCGAAGCTTTTAGTCATAGCTGACCAAGATTTTCAAAACTATGACTCATAAAAATATCGTAAATTAAGTGGCCGAGTATGCGTTATCAAATCTTTTTCCATTTGAAATGTTTGTTTTTGCTAGAAGTAACTTGTAATTTAATGATCCATCACAATTCTATGGAAATAATAAGATCCAGGTACAAAAAACTAATGTGATATAAAAATTTACCTTTCTAGGTGATTTCACATTTTCAAAAGCAAACGTTGACAGTAACTCAACGTAAGTAAAGAAGCAAAACCCCTTCAATTTCCAGTTACAAAAAGTAGTTTTTAACCTTTATATCTACATACAAGACGGTACGTATGTAACCCACAAGGGATTAATTCTTAGTTTTATGGATGACAACTGTCAAGGAGATAAAAAAGACTCTAGGTTAACTGACATTAACAAATGAATTATATTTGAAGTAATTAGTCAGAAATCGTATTGCAATGAATCACTCAAGGACAGAAGCCGTTATGCTTCAATACTTTTTAAAACTCTCTTGGTTTAATTCTATATTCGGCAGTTCAAAAATCACTTGATAGCATTAACGTTTATCTGATCATTCTCTTGTACTTTAGTCAGTAATCGCAGTGTTACATTTCCAAACAAGTCAACAAAATATAAACTAATCAACAACTAACTTGTTCAAGTTGCTGCTGTTGGTGAACAAGTTGGAACCTATACACTTCGGAGAGGTAGTGTTCAAAATATTGGTCCTGCATTTCGGTTACCAGTGCCTTTTGCTAAAAATAATAATGAGACTGAAAATAGGATGCATTTACTTTTTCTAAATCTTTAGGAAACTGTTCCCGAGCATATTGTTCATATAGATCTTTAGTTTGCTGCACTAGAGCCGATTTAATTTCAATCCTAAAACGCTAATACAAAAATGAAAATGCGCCATTACTCTTTCTGACCTAAATCTCCTTGATCATCGCAAAGTCCTTCTTTTAAGCGAACAGAGGTTTTACGGATTTCATTTGAATCAGGTGAATCATTTAAGGAGAGGGTTTCAAATTTATCCGGATTAGATACATTTGTCTCGAATTCTCCCATTATTTAGAAATTATTCATAATCTGTTAACAAACTGAAACAGAGTGTAAAAGATCATTAATTATACTAGATTTACGCAATCGCATAAAACCATATACTGTTTAAATACTAAACGTACACATCTAAATTTTCATCATACCAAAAAACACAACCAGCTTCTTATCACGACAAAACAAAATACAATCGATTCCTTAGTAAATTAGAATATAAACCACAGCTAAATTCACTTAAACTGTCAATAATGAGAATTTTACAGAGAAATGATCGGCTGTGAATCATGTTTAGGAAATTTTGAGAAATGAAACTAAACCTGCAATTTTAAATAAGCAATAGTGTTTTTAATCGTCTAACGAAGTGTTCTTAAGTGTCCATTTCTGGAACAAAACTCATCGAATTGTGTAGGCCAAAACGACAACTACTCATCGTAATCAACTTCAAGTATTCATCTTCACTCCAACATTAACTTTAAAACCCTTATTTTTATTAAGTTTAGTTCAGATATTAACTGTTTGCACAAACATTTAAAGATTTCTATACTCACTTTAATAAGTAGCCAAATCGAATGCGTTCAAAATATATCGTCAGGCTTACTTCGACATTATTAGTCTCAAAAACTACTAACTACGCTTTCTAGCAGACCGACCATAGCCTATTTATTGTACGAACCGCAAGACTAAGGCTTCATTAGATCCTAATCTTCATATTTTGGAGAAAATTTCGTCCATTTTGAAGAAATGCCACACAAAAACACAAAACTTCTCAAACCCTGGGAAAATCTCAATAACTGCTGAAAGGATTTTGGACTTTCCCCAACACTTCCCCAAACTTTGTCAAAACTATGGATTTTGATTAATTTTAAGAACCCCAAACTTTACTCAAAACTCACCAAAATCGGAAGATAGGGGCTAAACGAGAATGGTACAAAAGTTGCTTAAAATTCTATCTAACCCAAGAGTTTGCCTATCATATTGGTAGTTGACGACGACAGTATACAAAATAGTTATATATCGATAAGCAACTAAGACGGAAACAATTAAACCTCAAAAATAATATTTAAGCATATGCTTGCAATAAGAAATGTACGGATCACTAGAGGCGATTAAAAACAGCTTGAAAAAAGGTGAGTACTTTGGTCCGTTTATCACAAAAACACTGGTTCTTTACCGATCCAAACAGAAAATCCCACAACTGAGATAGTACAAACGTAGCAGAAAAACTAAGTAACGCTAAAACCAGTAAACCCGCTCGTATAAATTACGTACATTACATTATTAATAAATAAGTAAGAAAATGATTAAAATAGCTTCTAGATAACTGATTATCATGTCTTACATAGTAAAATTCTAAAACTTTGCAAAGAAAATCACGGCATGTCGTGACATATTGAATATTTCCAAAATGTATCAGTTTTATCAGAATGTGTTTTGTGGAGATTTTTAGAAATTTTCACGGTAGCGCAACTTCGTGGATTGGTTGAAGTTAGACATTAACACCGTTGGATGCCGGCTCAGTGGTCTAATGGTTAAGTGCTCGCGCGCGAAGCCAGTAGGTCCTGGGTTCGAGCCCCGGGTGGTGCGGGTTCGTGGATGCGCACTGCTGAGGAGTCCCATACCAGGACGAAACGGCGGTCCAGTGCTTCCAGGTTTTCAATGGTGGTCTAGCTTCAACTGACTCATGATTTCAATCTGTGAAAATGTATCAGTTTTATTGGAAATAAAATAATAATTCGCTTTTTGGCTGTTGATTAACCTGACAAAATGGTTCGAAAAGCATAAAATACTAAAGGTCAAACTAGATTGCAGGAGGCTGGGTGGTAACGTAGTTCAGGCTTAAAGAAGTTCCTTTTATATTAGGCGTTGAAACAAAACATTCGCAAGTCATTTAGGGGATGCACAAACGAATTTTAGACAAATAAACACATTGCTTTGTAACTCTAAACCAAGAAGGCCTACATAGTTTGCTTCATATGTGTTTTTACGTGCTCTAATACTCTTAATGCAAGAATAAAAAACTTGTGGAGATATGCACGACAAGGTTATTTTGTAAAGTTCTTGATTGTGGCGGTAAGTGAATCCCCAAAAATAAATAGCTCTGTAAGCTTTCGACATTGGATGCTGACCATATGTTTTAGTGGACTCACCTGGCTGAAGGCGCTCGGTCATGAATCCGCTGCAGATCACGAGTGGGAGCGCCATGCTCAACATCTACCGCAGTCGCTAGCCAGATTACATCAGACGTTTCTCGATATATTGATATCACATTAAATATATCTTCCAATCTTCTCGATTCTGTTTTTTGATTTCTCTTGGTGGGTACGAGTTATATTAGGTGTTACTAGAAAGAGTTGTCAAACACTGAATACCTGTGCCATCTTTATGATGTTATTTGTATTTAGTCTGTCACATTTTCACTGCATGTACATTTATTATTACATGTTTGTACGTGTTGATTAAGTGTGTGACCTTGAACATACTTTCTTCCGTCGTGTTACATTCATATCACGAAACACTGTTACACACATACCTCTTGTTCTCCATTCGCTCATGATTGTGTTAACTGAACTCTAAATCAAACACCGTCTGCATTCATAGATTATAATCGAAATATATCACATTCTACGTTTGGTTATACCGCTGGGAAGACATCAATTTCACTGGAATATTCAATCATCTATAATTGTGGATTTTGGTACCAGAATCAACTGAAACACGCACAAACCTGCTGAATCAAGTAACATCCCTAATTTTTGTTGTGTTTCTAACATATAACTGATATATATTAATAAGACTATTTGTGCTTGATAACTCTGTTATCATTTTTGAGTTCATATATTGTTTGGTCCACCACAATTATCTGGTGAGCCTCGAGTGTGTTATGGTCGTTATATTGCCTACATATTTACTTGACACACTAGTTCATTTTTTCACATCATGTACTCTCCAAATAATCTTATCGATATAGATTGTCCCCCAGTGAACACCGTCAACTCATCGCATTCATATGACAATATTTTAAGCTCAGTTAATGCCATTTCCGAGTTCAGACTACTGGCAAACGGTGCCAACAACCCCAGGATCTGGTTTGCGCAAATAGAAACCTTATACTTAGCGAAAGGCATATGCTACCAGGTGACCATTTATGCCTATGTTGTCGGCGCACTTCCCATCGAAATCGCTCCGGAAGTCTGAGATTTGATCAACCATGTACCAGAGACTGATCCTTACGACAAAATTAAGGCAACCATAATACAACGTACATCACTCTCTAATGAAAAAAGACTACAGCAACTGCTAACATCATGTGTACTAGGGGACAAGAGACCGTCACAGTCGCTACGACACATGAAACAGCTAGCGGGTTCATTTAAATTAAATGAATCATTACTTAAACAAATGTAGTTCCAATGATTACCATATAACGTGAGACAGATTCCTAGTGTGCCAAGAAATTCCGTCAATCTAGAAAACCTAGCAGATATGGCGGACAAGGTGATAGAGATCTGTAACAGCTTAGGTTAGTTGGTTAAGAGTTGACCCCAAACAACCAAGCATATGCCAAAACAGTATTGTTCAAGTACCCATTCACTGCCTTGTTTTGTATAAGCGTTATATTCCCTATTATCTTATATTGAATGTTGAGAGCCTTTGTTTGTCTGAACAGATAATCCAACGCTCCACTGTGACCGCGCTAAGATCGAAATAAAGACCTATTCACTACTTGTCTGGTTTCTTCTATCAATAGCACGAGGGTTACTTTAAGGCACGAAAGATCTACACTGATAGTCATTATGTTAATGCGATACAGACCTCCGGTAAAGAAGATACGAACACCACATTTAACATCCAGCAACAGTTAACGCAGTTAGCATCATTACAAGCTACTATCGTGACTATCCATTATCGACCAGCTAGATCCACGTCTAGAAAAAGATCAGTTTCCAAACAGCGTCCAGATCACATAAACGGGCAGCTGGAATTTGTTGGTACCATATGAAGTAGGGTGGAAAAGCATGGCGTTGTGCATAACCGTGTAACTTCACAACAAATGATCGTGAGAACCAGGGCAACGGGCCGGCCAGATAGTAATAGCGTCATCTGTTACTGGCCAACACGCTCGCCGCCTCTTCCACATCAAGGATCGTACTTCCGGCTCAGACTTCTCAGTCAATACAGGAGCAGAAATCAGCATCGCCCATTCCACCTCTCGCAGCGACGACAAGTACCAAGTTGTCACTCATCGCGGCTAACGATACGGTCATCAAAACTTATGGAGAGCAATCCCTCATTTTAGACCTCGGACTCCGGAGAAGATTCACATTGGTTTTTGTAGTCAAAAACAACACATTCTCTGGATCTACTTTCGTAGCCACTATAATCTATTAGTAGACATGAACAAAAAGAAGCTGATTGACAAAAATACAGGTTTGCAGGTGGACGGTACACTTAACACCGACTATGAAATATATGGTGTACGAATAATGAAACCTGTGAACAACCTTTTCACTGACATCCGGATTAAATACGAGTGCATCACTAAGGCGGATTAGCAAAAAGAATACACTGTACATCATGTTCGACACCACATTAGCACTACCCGTCCATCCATTTGCGCCAGGGTGCGGAGATTACCACCGCACAAGTTGCAGACGTTTAAAAGGGAATTCGAACACATGATGCAACTTGGAATTATTAGACAATCTAACAGTCTTTGAGCCTCGCCACTGCACATGGTTCTTAAATAATATCAATAGTGCTGTCCTAGTGGTGATTACCGACGTTTAAGTAACCAAGCCGTCCCTGACAGGAACCCAATTCCACACATACACAGTTTTTCATTAAATTTACATGGAAAACGTATTTTCTCGAAACTTGAATTTGTGCGAACATACCATCAAATTCCGATGGCACCAGAAGACATCGCAAAAACAGCCATCATTACACCTTGTCCTTTGTTTGAGTTTTAAAGAATGCCATTCGGACTGAAAAATGCATCTCAGACGTTCCAACGATTTAAGGACGTGGTTACCATAGATTTAAATTTTATATTTACCTATATCGACGATGTTTTGATTGCCAGCTAATCAATCGACGAGCATGTCCAGCATCTTCAGATCCTCTTCGATCGTTTTAAAAAGCATGGCGTCGTAATCAACCCTTCTAAATGTATATTCGGTGTCTCAGACTTAGTTTCTAGGACATTACATCGACTCTCAAAGCATTAAACCACTTCAAAAGAAAGTCGAAGCTATTATCAATTACCCTGAACCAACTCGGAACGTGTAATTTTTACCGACAATTTCTACCAAATTGTGCAGACGTGTTACAACCGTTTACAGACTTGCCGAAAAGTGATCAAAAAGGTACGAAGAGAGAAAAGAACGAAATATTCAGGCTACCTTCTAACTCCAAAAGGGCATTCGAAAAAGCGAAGTACATGATTGCTAACGTCACTATGTTACAACATCTAAATACTGACCCCACGACCCACCTGATTCTGTGTACGGACGCGTCACAAAAAGCCACAGGGGCAGTTTTATAACAGCAAGTAAGCAACACGACTACTCCCATAGCGTTCTTCTCCAAGCGACTGTCACCAATTCAAGAACGTTATAGTAATTTCGAACGGGAGTTACTTGCCATTTATTTAGCTGTCAAACACTTTAATTTCTTATTACAAGGGCTTACTTTCACCATCATCACCGAATACAAACCTCTGTGTTATTCATTCAACACCTCTTATGATCGACATTCACCTCGAGAAGCACGACAATTGGATTACATCTCTCAACTGACGACAGATATCCAGTTTATCAGAGGACATACTAACGTCGCAGCCGATGCACCGTTACTAAAGGATATAAATACTCTGGTAAGTAAACAAGACGTTGAACTTGAAACAACTGCAAAATTACAAGTAGACGACGCAGACCTAAAAAGCTGCAAAGAAAAGTCCAATTTGATTCTCATACCTGTACTCATTCCTTTCTCAAACTCATCTATCATCTGTGACGTTTCAACGGGCAGTAACCGCCCCTTCGTACCTCAAACCGACACCAGGGTCTTCAATAACTACACGAACTTTCACATCCTGCAATTAAAGCTACCACAAAATTGATTACTGAGCGTCTCGTATGGCCAAAGATTAACACTGATATAAAGCGATGGACCGGAAGATGTCAACGCAGCGAAATTCAAAAACACACAATTAGTCCTGTTGAGAGGTTCCCACTATCAGATAAATGCTTCC